CTTAGTTAACCATTAGAGACTGCTCACATGTGAGTAAACACAGTGACCATTTAATTATTTAAATTCCTGATGGTCCTAGATTTGTTTACAGAAAATGAAGGACTATTTTCCTTAGTGACATATTGCAGTAGATATATTAAAAAAGCTAATTGCACTTGGGAGTTAAAGATAAATTGACATGCTCTTAAATACATACATTTCTTTTTCTTTCCTGATCTCTAATGAGTTCATAATTTAATTGGAGAAACTGCTAGATACCCTCCAAATACTAGGGAATATCTCAAAGGAGAATGAGCTGCTTATGCAAGTGTTCTCATAAAACAAAGAGTATTCAAGTATGGTAAATAAATACTAGAAAGAAGAATGGTATTCAGTTGTCTACTTAAAAGCTTGAAGCCTACATATCTTCATATTGACGGTCTAGTTCTGAGCTGAACATTAATTACAACATTTTCTATTATAAATAAAACTAAAGCACGTCTGTATATTACCACTTCCCTAGGGCAAAGTTCTGCTATTGGGTAAATTACAGAGGGATATTATTACAGCATTTCAAGTGTATGCCAGAGAAACGGACAGATTCATTCCAATTAATCCAGCCACAGAATGCATCTGTAGAATAAGCCAGAGGATGAACACTGGTACAGCCCAGCCTTCCTTGTGTGACACCCGTGGAAGGCTGCAGTCCAGGCTCTGGGAGGCAGATCTGCTCTTCTGAAGAGGCTGGGCACCTGCCCACCCCCATCCACCCCAGCAACAGCCAGTGGCTCAGGGGCACTGCTGCCAGGAGGGGCTGGCTGACAAAAAAGCCCCATTCCCCTAGGCAGCAAATATGCTTTTCTTCAGAGGAATGTTTTTAGATTCTGAGGTGGTTTTAAATTTAGAAGGGAATGTGAGAGAAAGAAACTGTTAAAAGTGAGGATACTTTTCACTTGCATACTGGGAGTTAGAGGTTGCTATTGCTATTGGAACTGCAACTGTAGCTGAGACAGGGTCAGAAAACCCTGGGGCTTAAATACAGAAGCTTCAAGGCGAGAAGAGTATAAAAATAAATTCCAAAGGGCTTAATAGCATTGTACAGAGGCTGGATATTCTAGTGCCAGAAGGAAACTGGTGGCTCTTAGATCAAAACCTAATCACCCAAAAGCAATAAGGTCCTTTGTTTCAGCCTGCTAGTCATTCTGTCACCCAGCGTGGCAATAGTTTTTCACTAGCATCCCAAATTACAGTTAATTTACAGTGTTTAATGTACCTGTCACTGACAATATAACAGTTAAAGCAAAAATGTTTTGGAATGAACGTGGTTAAACCTTTAGCAGCCTGATCCAAAATCTGCTAGGAACATTTTGCTTGACTTCAAAGGAATTATTATCAGCATTTTAGTGAACTTCTAAAAAAAAAAAAAAAAAAAAAAAGTTAAAAAACGGGAGCTGTGGCTCATGTGGCTCACAGCTTACTGTCAGACTGTCCTTCATGTGCAATCGAAGACAGGCAGAGCTCGCAGACAGTCCAGGCCACCTCTGCAGGCAGTAAAGTGAGAGAAACCTTCCTGAGGTTACCACACAAGACACCCTCTGATTCTCTGCAGCAAGGCCAGAAGAGGGGAAAAATGTCTGCTCTTTCTTAGTTTCCCATCCCAGAAGACTTTATTTATGCATTAGTCGACCTTTCTAGCCGTTAGGACCATCTTGCTTCAGCAGTTAATTAACACAAGTGCCATAATTTAATACAGTTAATGCTACTTGATGCCCTTTAATGTACCTTCCATTAGTGATATTATTGTAGTATTACCCTGTAAATTAAAATGAGATCAAGACTAAGAGAGGCTCTCTTTAATTAAGGTACTGGCACACTACATTGCCCATTATTCACTAGAAAAAATTCACCCTGATTTAGTGAAGCAGACCATCAGTAAGTCAGAATTAGTTCATGTGGATTATTAGGTTTCTTGAATAATGTGAGCACAACTGGCTTGCTGAAATTGCTAACACCACATTTCCTTTTTTTCATCATCTTAATAAATATACAATGGAAGTGGTAAATTGAAGATGAATAAACAGGTGGTAATAGAGGAGGCAAGGCATTCATTGAGAGCACATCTCTAATGCAGCACACATCAGGCTTGTTTCACACCAAAATGTGGGGGTGGGGGTGGCAGGGTGGGTTGGATTAGACGATCTCCAGAGGTCCCTTCCAAGCCCTACCATGCTGTGTGATTCTGTGTGAAAATACTAAGCAATGACAAAACAAACCCTATATTAAGTGGGCAAATCTCCTATCTATAATTCATTGTGAAGTATCAACCACCCCAGCATCTTGTATATTAATTATGGCAGCTTTAAGATAGATGCTTTTCACTATCATTGATCCTTAAAATACAGTGTGAAACAAATTACATTTTATGCTGCCTTTAGAAATATGCTATTATGAGCTTTGGTGATATTAATGATATTTAACCTATAGGTTATTTTTTTCAGTAGAAGGATATGCTTTAAAATGTGTCTGCTTGCATCACTTATCCACCACATGTCAAGCTCCTTGGTGAATGTTCCTTTGTAGCCTGTCCTCATGGAATAGTCTAGCTTTACTAAATGTATATAAATATTTAGGTCTCAAAGCCCAGAATATGAAACATTGTTGCAAAATAATAATAATAATAAAAATGTAACTTAATTTCCAGTTAGCAACCTAAATTAACAGGTAAGGGCTGAAAAACTCAGATTAATCGTGTTCCTGTGCTCAGGGCATGCCAGGGCACATGACCATAATGCTGATTTGGAGACTCTTTGAGGGGGCCCTATGAGGTTTCTGGTAGGAGACTGAAAACATATAAAACTGGGTGGCAGGGGGCCTATTGCAAGTTACATTTGGTGCAACTAAAAGATCAGGGGCTGTGTACTGCAGCCCCACAGCTACTTAGCAGTAAGCAAGCCCATGAAGTTTATAACAAGGAGGGCTCACTATGTATTGAAGGAAAGGCCACCAAATCCCTAAAGAGCTGTTCTTCTCATTAGCAGAAGAGTGATAAGAATTCACATGAATCTAATCTAGTGAGATACTATTACACAGATATTTCTTTTAAAGCATGTGTCCAATTACTGCAGCATTTAGACAACAAGCATCAGCATCAGATAAGTTCTCTGTTCAGTCATGCTTCATTTCTATAGATAATTTTTCACAAGATTGCCATGCCCCAGATGTGCTCAGAAGGTTTCTGCTTCTAATTTGCATGCAATGCACTCTTTTTTAATCCTTCAGATGTTTTCTTTGATAAAGTACTGATAGTCTAATTGAAGTCAGACTAAGCGCCAAATGGGTTTTCAGATGGGGAGCAGCTTTTCCTTAAAGCGTGAGGACCTTCAAATGCTGAGCTTTGATATAATGCCTCTGTAGAGCTAACTTATGTGGAGCTCAATGGAGAAAGGATACACATTGAACAGAACATATGTGTTATTTTTTTATATACTGAGGCCAAATTAACCAAACTCTTTCGAACAGTATCTTAAGCTGCCAGTGATCCACTTAGCCCTCCCGAGAGACTTCTGAAAAATAATTTACAGTGTAACTATTGAGAGTTACAATAAGAATTCTTTAAACAGCAGCATTTATTTTATACTTTCACACATTCAATTAGGGATTCTCTACGTATGTGTATGTATTTGGTGCGGACACAGAAGACTGTAACTACAGGTGAAATCTGCGGTCCTAAGAAATGTATTTTGATGTTATATAAAAATATATTGACACCGCAAAGGCGCTTATGCATTCAAATCTGTATGTGGTATCAATTCTTCCTTTATATAAAGTTAGGGGAATATTTTTCAATAAATTTCATCACAGTACTTTGAGTCTATTTTGATTTTATGTATCAATTTTGCAATATGGAAATGCTTACAAACATGAATGCTTATATAAAAGAGGTAGAATATAGCAAACTCACTACAGGAGTTTGCTTACAGGAGTAAGAAAAATATAGTCACCAGTGTTTTATATAATCACTGTGTTTACTTTTTTTCACTCAGTCCCGTGTCTGCAAAAAATGCTCTGGCTTTCCAGAATGCATTAGTTTTTCTGTTCATTTTGATACTTAAGTCCTCTTAAAAAAAAAAAAAAAAAAAAAAAAAAAAAGGAATATTTGAACTCTACACAGAAGAAACAGAGGAGAAGGAAAAGGTACATAGAGGGGAGTGAATCGTTAATAGAGATGATCCCATTTCTTCTGAACAAACTGGCATCTAAGACACATGTAAAGGGTATCACCCTCCTGCTTGAGGTCATCAGTCAATTGCTAGTTTTTGTTGAGAAGAAAATTTCCCAATAGGAATGTCACTGCACGGTTATTATTTTTGGGACTACGGCACCTGATACCAGCCACTGCTTGCCCCAGAGGGACTATTTGTGTTGAACCCAGCTGAGTGATCATCTTTGTTATATTCAAATCAGTCTCTCTAAAACACTGTTTTTTTTTTCATTTTGTTTCAGCTTCATTCCATTTCAAAGTTAATTAAAGTACAGGGAATGGACTCTAATCTCTGCTGTCTATCTTGTTCACGGGCAGTTCACAGCTGGACCTAGTGGGAAGGGTCCATGCAAGGGCTGCTGTATCAATCACAGCTCATATTAAAGGCTTAAAAAAGTCAAACGATAAAACAGAATTTCGCTTTTTAGTTAACTGCCATCAGATCAGGCTCCAACTGTATAAAAGCAGAAAGTGTCCAAATGCCAGGGTGAACTCCTGAACCAATATAAGAAACTGTTAATACTATCCTGCTCATGAGACCTAGGGCTCAAGATCCCAGGCTAGTGACAGCCAGTACCTGGGACTTTGTGTCACTGAGTCAGAAACTCCTCATATGACCTGAAACAGACATCAGCTGAGACAGATTGCCAATGAACATGTCCCCGCAGAAAATGTTGTCATGTTTGGGGAAATAAACAGGTTTGAATAACCTCTAAAACCAAACACATATGCCTGTTTGTAAAGGTGTATATTCTCTTACCTTCCGTATACCTTTATGTCTGAAATTGCATAAAAGTAGCGTGCCAGGTGTTGCTCATCTACATATATTTCTCCAGTTGCTGGCCTAAGCAGTCTTATTCTCAGATCCGTGATGGTAAAGAAATCTCTTAACTTCTTGGTTGTGTCAAGCTGTCCATAAAGAGAAGCCATGTTATGAAGCCGAGGTCCAGCAAAAAAAGCAAATCTATCTTTGATTTCAAAGTGGATTATTTTACTATTTGTCATGTACCCAGTAGAGTATTCCTCTGTGCAAATGATTTCTAGGACTGTGTTCTGCGATAAATCCCTCACTGATTTCGGATCCATGTGGAAAGCATCTAAGCAGTCCGTGGCATAGTATTGGTAGGGCTGCCATGTTCGTCCATAGTCAAGTGATTTCTCTAGGATCATTTGGTCTGGACGGCCAGATTCAAAAGTGATAACTATGTTATCTGTCAGCTCAATGGTTTTGTTCCAGGAGAGTGTAATATTGACATGAAGAGGCTTTGGATAATCCTTCCAAGTCGTGGACTGCCAAAATGTGGAGGGATGTCTTCCTTCGAGATCAAACATCAGTTCCGGAGGATGAGCCAGCTCTTGGGTACTCGCATCACATTCATTATTGCACATGTAGGGATTCCCCTGGAAAAGAGCAAAGCAGTGTTACAAGAGGCACAGTATAGGTGACTGTGACACACAAAGATGTTTCTTGTCTGGCACATAAGAACTGCTGCTTTTTCTCCAGGAGTGAAACCAAGAAAGAAAAAACCATCTTTATCTTAATGAGATTTATCCTGGCCATTTTACTTTTTGCAGTAAATGTACAAACACACACACATACAGCACCCTTGCTTTTGTAACTTCAACATTTTTCTTAGTATGTTTTAGAGAAATAAAAGAGTTTATCTACCCTGAATGACTTGGACCAGCAATTGACTCACAAACGACTGAGAACAGTAAGCAAGTCTCTGATAGCTCAGTAATTCCAACTCTTCTAGAAAGATGCAGCAAATTAAGATAATTTCTTTCTAAAACAAGTATGTTCCTCAAGAGCCCTCTTCACAGAAGAAATAATTTTTAGGGCAAGTGTTTTGAGGTCAGCAGTGCAGCCCATATGTACTCAGTATGAAGTGAGTATATTTTAATATGCTTTTAATATAACACCTTCAAGTTTGCTTTCACCTGGGCATGAAATTTATCATGCTTAACTGTGCTCCCAGCTTAGCACCTGCTTGCCTTAAAACATTTACACTTGCCATCAAAGCCATTAGAAAAACAGTGCTCTGCCAGCTCTGGGGCTTGATTCAGACATCTGCTTTCTTATTACAGGGTAGTGAAGTACTTCAGGAAAGACTTTTCACAAGACACAGGCTACAATTTATCAGAACAAGATAATCCAGCACTTGATTAGGTGGGAGATGTCAGCAGCTCCAGCTGGAATGCTGCCGAGGTGGCTGGAGGTCTGAACTGGGGCTTGAGTTAAAAAGAGCAACAAAAAAAGCTTGCCAATAGTGCACATCTTTTACTGCTGCTTGTCCTCTGTAGCAAGGTGAAAGTGAATTATTCTCTTCCTGGCCTTTTGATGCATTAACTTGCACACTACAATCTTCTGCTTCTTCACAAAGGCTATTTTGTCTGCAGATTGGGGATATCTTGCAGCAGTTGCCAAGATATCAGACCCTGTAGGCTGTACTGAATCACATCTATCTAATTTCAGCTTTCAACAGTACATTAATATTTTGCTACTTGTTCATTCTGTGTTTGTTCCAGAGAGCAACCACTGCTCTGTATCCTTCCCTTCGCCTTACATACGGATTGTGGAAGAAGCCTCTTTTCACTGATGGTCAGCACTGCTGGGGAAAAAGTGCGCATGCCTGTACCTAGCAGTGCCACTTGGTATCTCTTATTGTCATTAATCAGAGTTCCCCTCACCTACCCTGAAGACAGAACAAACCTTAGTATGATAATCAACCTTCTCTTATAATTACAGTTATGCTTCTCTCCATCTCAAAGCCTCAGGGCAATGAAGTGACTCAATGCCATCCAGTGTGGGAAATGGGTTTCAAACATGAGTTTCCACCTTGATCACTGATCTGCTCCTTCACATACTCCTACAAAACATAAGCCAAAGGACTTCTGCACTCACTTTGACCTCCCCACTGGCAACTTTCTCCAACTGGGCAGGGAAACACAATTTCTTTCTGTCTCTCCTTCCCATTAATACAGCTGAATGCTAAAACTGACAACGATTCACTGGGACTCGAAGTTAGGAAAAAAGCTACAAGACAACGAAAAGGGTTATTTGAAAAGCAGCACACTGCTTGTTACACTGACAGCTTCAAAGCATGCAACTGTAACTGAAAATACTCTGTAAAACGTGTCTATAATAAGTCCTCGTTACAGCTCTGATTTCAAGCTCATGGTTGCTGTTTCTATGCCTTCCTTTTGAATAAAACAGTGAAAATCAAAAATAAGTTTCAAGCAGAATAGAGAAAACAACACTTTTTTTAATTATTTAAGCTCCATTTAATATACCAGACAAGAATGCCAGGATTTGCTAACTTACTTAGGCCTCTTCCATAGGGAAAATACACATATTGTGAAATCTATAAGGTTCCAGACCCTTTGGCTATATGTTAATATAAATTTTGCAGAAAATGCTGAGTCATGTAAATCACACCTTTCTGAAGTTCACTAGAAAAATCTGGTCACTTTGCCTGTCACCGTGAAGCTGCCTCCATATCTACAGTGTATATGCTTCTGTCATCGCTTTGGCAAAAGCAACTTCACTGGGAGCTCATGGGTATCAAAACAAAGCAAATAAGTACTCCTGGGTAGCCAGACAGGTGCATTAAACACTGCTGAGGGATGGCTTTGGTTTCCAGCTCCACAAGCAATGACTGAGTCTGTTGTGATTCTTCACGTTAAAAACTAAAGCCGCTCTGATCCACTAGTCCCTGGATGCTGGAGGAGGCGTGTTTTATGACTTCCAGTGGGTAACCCAGATTGTGTGGGATGTACTGTTTCTTTCTGTACAGAAGAGTTGATTTCTTTTGCTCCCTTCTTTCACCTTTTCCTTTTTAGCAAAAGCTGAGATGCCTATATAATCAGAGAATGCTGGGAGATGGTGCTGTAACAAAACACAAGCTAGTGTGAACACCTAAGATTATGAGAGCTGGTAGCAATTAGGTACCCAAAGAATGGTGCAGTGAATGCCAAAAATCAGCCCTAGCTTGCTACTGAATG